ATTTTGCTTCCTCATTCTCCGTGTTGGCTGACCTTCTTTCTATCTCCGAACTTTGTATAGATTTGAGTTTAAGTATTCTTCTAGTAAAGAAGACTCTCGATGAAGGACATTTAAGACATAACTTTGAAGCAAGCAGCTTCCAAAAGTTCCTCGGCCTTCACGTATTTTGTTAAGATGCACTCTGTGGTGTCTGGCCTTACTGGACGGGTGATTCGCACCCGTCGACAGCTCTTGTCGGATTTGGAAGGCGAAGTTGGCGAGCTATCAGAGCCCGATTGGGTGGCGAATCAGCTAACAGCGTTGGCTCTGCTCAGAGGCACGGATTACGAACAACTTCTAGACATTTATCTAACAGGAAGAAAGGCATGATTTCTTCCTTCTTCTTTGGATGCTTTTCTCATCTAATTTCTGATGGTTTTTAGAATTTTATTTCAAAGTTAACTAGTGAATCAAGTTCACTTCTGAATGTCGTCACTGAGCTGAAAAAGACGCTTGTTGTTGTCGAACAACTGTTCGCCCAGGGAGAGCTAGTTCGAATCATCCAGGCGGCTGCCTGTCCAACTTATCGGCCAGGTACTGTTTCTTCTGTTTCCATTCTCACTTTGTTATGATGAAAATTACAGCTTTGATTGACTCGCTCATTTGCGATGAAGCATTCACCTTTGGTCGTATGCTCACCACCGAATCTGAGAAGGTAACTCGCCAGCTCCGAGACTTTAAAGCAAGCCCCATTCTCTCGCAGAAGATCAACTCGAAATGCACAGATTGGATCAATGAGTAGGTTCATGCAGATACTATGGCTATGTTGGAATTGATAACAGTTGCGTACCTACCACAAAATGTTGTCACCAGATAACTGGTCATTGTGTTAATCGTTGCAGTGTGTGCAGTTTTGCTCGAGAGCCGGTGATGTCGATTTGTGAATTCTATGACAAAGCAAATGACATAATCGAGTTCCTTCATGCAATTTCCGGAGTTCTACGATCGGTACGTAAAGATCGATCATTTTCTTTCCTTTACTTATGTTAGGAGGTCATTCTCTCGAGTTCGCTAGAAGTATATTTTGCGACTTTTAACCATCCAGAGCATATAATAGAGTAATGGCATGCTAGAGCCATTGCTTCCTTGCTGTTACAATTTCTTTACAACTCATAGAAATCCACATCTTACTATTACCATTGCAATCATCTCGGTCATTATAGAAATCTTCTTAACTAATGCTGGGCTGTTTTGTCATAGTAGGGAAGGTTTTTAGTTCCAGAATGTTGAAATGAATCTTCAGAAAGTTTCGGGACACCTTTTCTCGTAGAGCAAACGACTTTCGACCAAGACTTCGTTCTCACAAGAGGGTGGAAGTAGTGTAGTGGCATGTGGCGCCGCCCACCACCGCCCGATTCGGGATCAAATCCTAAATCGCGCGCGTGGTAAGTGGCCATCTGAGCTCCCATACATCCAGGGTCGGTTAATTTGCACCAGACGTGTCTGGAGGGAAGCAGTGACTCATACATTATGTATTGTTATATTGAACGCTGGCACGATCTTGACTGAAGCAATAATTTGGGCTGAAAGAATTCAGATTCTTTTGCCAGGTCCTCTTTCATCTATGTCATGGACTGTGTAGAATTTTCTATGAGTTATCCATGTAAATTTTTCAGGTTGGCACGCGATATTTCTTAATTCACTGTATACGCGGACTGTTCAGGCGATGTGCTGTTCAAGAAAGTTTACGGACGTTCACTTTTTTCAAATGAGCTTTCCGATGCTTTACATTTTGGTTCTGGTGATAGTACATTGTAACGTGTACCTATGTTAAAAAGAGATCTTACCCTATCATTCCTGAGGGAGGCGTGTTCGAAACCTTCGATACTAACCTTCACTCCCTCACTTTGTTTGTATCTTGCGGCAGGTTGACTTGTGTGACTCTTCATAGGATAGGTTGCTTCAACAAGAGTAGGTTCGGAGGTATGGCTAGTCCCTGCCGCACCTGAGATTTGGTCTAGGAAGGATAAAGTAGGAAGAAATGTACCATTGTGCACTCATTAACTGCAGCTATAAATGCCCGCTCCAGCCAATTCACGAAGAATCCTTTTTTGTATCTTGTTATCTGTGTTGCCCCGAAAAATCTGGCATGTATCCTATCAATGCTTCGCGCACAGTTGTAGCTTCCAAAAGCACTCCAAATTTTTGCGCAAAGGAAGTCTCCTTGCGTGCGTGAACCCTCAGTCTCTTCACACCCACCTTGACTTCCTTCTCCCTGCAAGAAATTGTACTACTACATGCGATACAAACTTTCGCATCCCATGCTACCGTCCCCCTCCCCCCCTTCCCCACTTACTGGATGAGCTGCATTATTGCCCCAAATCTGTCAAGAATTTCATTGGTATGTAGAAACGTGAGAACTCGAACATGTCCAAGTGGAAATAGCTAGTTTGTTTCAAGGGCATAATCTCTCGAGACCTACGCGATTTGGAGGAGCAGCTGATTAAGCAATTGAAATCGATCAATACTGCACCTCCTCCTTTGTTTGAGAAGACGTCCAACAAGTTTGATCCTCTCATGGGAGTCGGAATTTCATCCGCTCTTCAAGAGTACGTTGGTTGTGACAAATGCATTTTAGAGCTCAAACCTTTCTTCATGAGGTTCTATCTCAGATCTATTTCGAAGTTTTACGCCGGCGTACAAAGCGCTCGCGAATGTTGTGGAAGGTATGAGCAAGTGGAATTGGACTCGCAGCCGGAACGAGTCAGAGAGTCATTGGCCGCGGAGCTGTTCAGTGTCATCGAAAGGTAAACTGCCCACAGTGGCGCCTATTTCACTACTTCTGGAAGGGTGGCCCAGTAGCAGGTCTTTATTCTTTTCTTTACCATGGTACTTGGTTGTGCCTGCTTATTCTTATTGTTAGATCATTGCGAAGTTTCAAGATTATTTGAGCACGTACACAAGGATCATGTGCAGTAGATGAATAGGTAGTGTAGGCGTTGGTGAGGTGCCCTTTTCATTAATTTTCCAAACGTTTGGTTGCAGGTTGTCCAAGTTGCATCCCAGCGCCAGCGGTAATACCTCATTGGACGAGCTGTCAAGAACTAGACTGTGTCTTGCACTTCTGCACTGCGATTCTACATCGTTTTGTCAAGCAATGAATAAAGACGGTGAACGCATTGCTGCTGCCAGTCGTCTTCTCAATGCTGCTGCAGAGGACTCATTGAGGTATGGGAGGTTTGGATAAGAATACTCGAGTTTGTTCATATTTGACTTGGTTTCTCAGTCGGGTTGTAGCTGGAAAAGGTCGAGTTACAAGTTCAGAGCAACCATGGGTTCTTTCGAAACCAGTGGAAGGTCATCATTTCAACTCGTTCGCGCTTTCTGAAAATGCTGAGAGTTGCGTGTAGTACAGTACGATGAAGCACCCGCACACGTTCGCTGAACGTAATTTTTCATAATGAGCCGATAAATCCGTGCATTTCAAGGTCGGGTAAGTGGAACCAGATTTCTTCTAAACGGTTAAAAACTGACTTCAAATAGGCAGGTTATTGACCTCATTACAACTGTGCTGTAATTGTTTGAATGGTCTTGAGTTGGAAGTATCATTCATCTATGCATGGCACGTTCCTAAATTGTCCACTATCCGTTCTGCCAACCATCACTTTTTGCTGACCTAACTCACGACTATGGAGCAGGAGCTCCTCGTAAAGGTTTAGTCTTAAAGGCAGCGATTACGATAAATTCAAGAAGGGTTTAGTGTGACGTGGTGGTGCTCAATGGTACGCCAGTAGCGAAAAAGCAGAAAAATCCGTCAAGAAAACGCAAAACGGGACCCCTTTTTGGCCGCCGGTTTTCACTCATGAATAGGTGACAACTCAGAAAGTGGACGTAGGAACCGCAACGCTTTTGAAGTCCTGCTCAGCAACCAGCGCACTTTCGTTGTGAAGCGCCACATCTCGCTTCCTGGCAGCCAAGTAACTGATTCGTGTGGTGCACATGCTTCCCGATGCGCTCCCTCTTTATCGTAATCGCTTCCTTTAAGAAGCTCGTAAAAGCCTCAATGAAAGTGTATTGTTCAGAGGAGACATGAAATTCAGAACTCTTTATTGAAAAATAATCTATTTCCTATCTGTGATGAATCTTCCGGACAATTTCTTTGATAATTTAAAATTCTTCTATACAAGAAAACCCGCTTCTCTGAACATCGCATAGACACGATTGGGAAGGCAACGTAACTATCACAACAGTACAGAATCACAATACGGACCTGCCAACGAGGTATTAGTAGATTATGTAAATCTCTAAGGCGAAGAACAACCGAGTATGAATATCAGAATATATGAACTAAGCTAATCTGGTTACCGGGAAACTGTTCTCTGTGAGAAACGAAATAACATATGTAGTCGAACAGGTTAGAACTATGCATGGCATAGTAAATAGGCAAGCGCTGGCTGGCTGGCGTGATCTTGCGATCTAATATCCTTCAGACTGTGATTGGTGAGCAGTGTAGAGCTCACGAATTGCTTTAAGTAAATGATTGAACGGTTTGTCGATGAACGTCCTACGAAAATAGTACTCGTAGGCGAACGGTTCGGCTGGCAGCGGTTGCACCGACTCCATAAGCGTTTTCATGAATTGCCTGAACATTGATGAACTAGCGAAAAGTTAGTGAATTCACGGATTGAAGAAGGAAGCGGATCAAAGAGAGGGCAGCGATAGCAGTCAGCTGAATAAAATGTTCGCAGGGTTCTGCAGCAGTCTCGATAGTACTGTCTCTTCATGTAGTTGCTAACCCTAATTGCTTGGATCCTTGATTTTTTTTACTAGGTGTAGGGTCAACAAATGAGAAAACACCGCGAGGGTAGCTGTACAACACTGAAAGATTGCCAGGGTGCTTAAAAAAACCTTCCAGGCAAACACAACCTTGTGACAGATGGGGGTTCATTTTGGACTAGTCACATCATAGAGATAAAATCTTGGAATTAGACAGCACCGGATCAGTCGGTTGGCCCTGGCAAGCCTTTAAATCATAAGTCAAATACACTCAAGTTCAGTTCAAACACCTAAACCGCTCCCAGAAGTAGTTTGATACGTGAAGTATCTCAAGTAATTGGGTCTTCAACAGCTCTACCGTTGCATTTTAATGCGTAATGCCGTTAAAAATGGGTAAGCCGTCAAAATTTAAACTTTGCTGGTGAACGCGCGTCCTAAGGAAATCACTATAGTAGTCTCCTCACTCTCGCGAGAACTTGGCCTCAAAAAGAATGCATGGGTGGTAAAAATGAGCAGAACATCAGAATTCTATCCCTGAGAAAATTAACTAGGAAAGCTCCTATTAACGGAACAACCGAAAAAACTCACTTGTCTCTTTCCTCTTCATCCATATCGCACCAAACATCAGCAATCGTTTTAAGAGTGTGATTTTCCAACATTGCATCGAGCTGAAAACTTCTATCAATAATGTGGCTTCCTCACGCGATTCTCCTCTGATTTAACTCACCTCCTCTTTTTCTCCGAATCTTTTCATCAGTAAGTCACGCATAACGATCGTCGAACCGACCTTCACATTCTTCTCAACCGTTTTGACCAATGTATTCGGCAAAAACTGGAATTCGCAAGTATGATTTCACATATGAAGTACGACACTGCTGCCACATTGCTACCTGTCGATCGGGTAATTCAACGGTCACAATCTCGTTCGTGTTCCAGCATATGAGTACAAGTCGCATGGAGAAACGGCGTTCACGTCGGCTTCTGTGCTTTGCAGAAACATCCTCGGTGTGCAAAGTCTCGAGTAGTTCTACGATGTGACCTTTTCCCCCGATTGGTGACGTTGACGATTGAAGTAGGCACCTGATTGCACTGACAGTAACATGGAGATGTGACTTGACGTATCTCAGACTACTAACCAGCTCTGTATGTGGTCTCGTATGAATCCGATAGTGTTGTGAATCGTCTCTTCGACAAGTCGGAACTCTCCCAAAAGTCGATTATACTCAGAAGCAGTATAGCCAGCGTTTTCACACCATACTAGCATAAATATGAAAAACTAAAGCAGTGAAAATTGGAAGAGATATAATGAAATAAAACAATGTTTTCAAAATATTACAAACCTTGTTCATTGGCATTCGAGAGAAAAAGAGAAATGTGCCTTCATAGACAGAAATTTTTGTTATCACGCGCCGTTCTCGCCGTTTTCTGCACGAACGACACCTCCACTGAAAATCGACCACTGAGACTTTGCGAGTATAAATGACTTATCAGATAACAATCACCACAAATCCATTCGCATGTTTGATGAGGCTCATCAACTGCTCCTTGGGACAGCTTTCGATTTTGCATTCCCTCGTGTTGGGAATGATTCCATATCGGGCCAAAAATTGTATACTAGAAATGTTAGAAATGTTTGATTGATTACAATTATCGTTTCTTGTGACGAAACGTGAGTATCGACAAACCCGCACCCTACACGGGAATCGCGAAATATCCTCTGAAGTAGGTCAGCGTCGAAGTCAATGTCGAGAATCTCGTCCGGTTCGGCAACCGATGTGCCGTCGAGAATCGTGAATTTGCCTCGTTCTGGCCTACTCCTGAATATCAGATAGTAGTAAAAGCATTATTCGCTCCAATAAAACTGTAAGAAGGAAACAAAAAAATGAGAGAAGGGCGATTGACATTTGCTGCAGGTAGTTTTGGCTTTGTGCCTGAATTTCGTGAGAACGCAATATTTTGATGTGGTGATTTTAAGGTAATTCTGATATGGTATTCCTTGATAATGGGGGGCAGGTAGTGAGATAGTGATGGAATTACTGCTAACCATTCATGAATATCATAATTGTCTCGTTCTAGCCGACTCCTGAATATCAGACACTAGTGAGAACAATTAATAATCGAAAAACTTAGCTCTAGGTTCACATTTTCTAAGGAAATATTTGTTAATCCGAAAAGGTTGAGCAACTGGTGATTGACAGCCGGCTTGTACCGGTTGGGAAGTTTCAAGAACAGGTCAAATAGTAGGAGGATATGAGGAATGAAGTATCAGGAATGAGGAGGAAGGATTGTACTGAGAGCATGCAACCGGCGCCAGCACCAAAATTCCATTATTCCGTAACGGCTTTATCCAATTTGAACAGTCAACGTTCGCTTTTAGCGTGGCAGTGTAATTACTTGCTTTAGTGAAGTTATATTGGAAATCAGTGAGTTTTCATTGCTATACTCATTAAACATTTTTAAGGGAGTGGTACCCCAAAGTTCAGATCAGGGTAGTGGTCGAGGGAGGAGCGGTGAAAAACCAGCATGGATAAGTTTTCATGGCAATATTTGTGGTAATTAGGCTTTGGGATTTGCAGGCAATTCCCGAAGTTTATTTCATTTTTTTAAATACGCTGAAGCACGAAAGTTCTAGACTCCTTAGATGGAAGGGTAGAGGTAATTTGAATGATTGGGCAGATGGCAGGAATGATGAGAAAGCAGCACAATGCAAACAAATAAAGCACCTTCTATTAGCGAGGATCTGCTGCTTTGGTTCTCGCTTCACACGTTTCGGTGGTGGCTCGCCATTTTGATCCTCGGCATCTGCTTCATCACTACCGGATTCTGCCTTGAAAATGCAGCCTATCAGTTAGCTGATAGCGAGCGACCATTGTGGTTCCATCAATATTACAACCAGGGAAGAAAGACCAAGGGAAAAAAGCATTGAACCTCACCTCATCAGCAATCTCGTCTTCATCTTTTGCGTCTTTGTTCGTGATAAAATTAGCGTTTTTTGTTTGAAATAGCGACTCAAGTATGTCCATCGACCCTGGAGACCAACACAATGTGGCAGCAGCAAGTGATTAGTTTAAATCGTTATCGTAATGTGAATACATTTAAGAAGAACGATAGGAGATGGCGCAGGTCTCGCTCTGAGGGAATGCCTTTTGAGGTCATGGTCTTATCCAGGCTGGTGTTATCGATAATGTGCACGTATCGGGCAGTGACTGAAGTGCGTTATAAACCGCTGCATGAGGGTAGAGGTGCTCCCAGAATGATAAAGAAATCCATGGAAAAAGTGAAATTAATTGGACCCGTCAGCTTTCGCAGGGAACTCGCTTCGACATTGATTGAATTAGTCGGCTGATGCATGTGGAATTGTGAGTGGAATGTGAATGTGAGAAGATGAACAGACCTTGACGAAGGTTGGCGAGCAGTACGACGACGACGACGACGACGACGTTGGACGCTCCACGACGACTACCTCGACGGAGACGACAGCGGCGACGACGACGGCGAGACGGTCGTTATGGTGACAGCCGACTGGCGCGGCGTGCGAGGTGAGAAGGCTGCGGCGGTGACGGCGGCGGCGGCGCGCGGCCATTGGGCCTTGCGATTATCGATCCGCGCTCGCTATCGGACCATTGAAACTGGAATGCGCCGCGGCGGCGCGATATCGCCGGTCGCCGCATGCGGCCGGACTGTGCGCCGCGTGGGCACGTCATGCGGCGACCGCGCCCATCCACATACAGGGGGCAGGAATGCGCCTGACGGCGGCTGTGCTGTCAGGCGCGGCTGGCGACACTGAGGGACCCTGAAGATCATCGAGGGGGTGGGGGAGTGGGGAGCGGGAAGAGTGGAGCAGTGTCAAGGGCAGCTGGACGAGCAGAATGTGTTGAGGTGCGGAAAGTGAAACTAAGGACTTCTGGTAAAAAAAAAGGTAGAGAAAGCACAGGATTGCTCCCACAGGGTTATGCTGTACTGTACTTTGATCGACTATCATGCACTCCTATACAATCTTTTGTGATTCCTGGTAGGCGCCTTTCAGAGAAGTTTTACGAAAATAGGAGCTATCGCAAGATACGGGGCATTGTGGTGGCGTTTGAAACCGCAAAAAAACATACTTTTTGTTAGAAACGGGCCTAAGCCTTAGGCGTGGGAGGAGATACTCCAGGATAAGTGAGCCATTTTCATTTTTTTCGGTGTTCCTGTTCCCTCTAGGGCATGCCCCGTATTCGCGATAGCGCCCAAGAATACTTATGGAATTCATTGGGAATTAGTGACGATGAGCAATTTGCCCTTCTTTGTTTGCTCCGATGGCTTTTTTTCCGAAAGCAAGGTTATTGTGTGCCTTGCGAGATTTTCGCTGCATTTTTAGCAAACGAGATTAGATACTTTTTGGCCGTTTGCTGTTTTCCTTCTTCATAAGCTCTGTGAAAAAAAAACTGGAAAATAAACAAATAAACAAATAAAAAAATAATTGAAATGAGTGAAGTGATTTGCTAGTCCGCTGAATGCGCCATACATCCAACTCATCTTCACAATCGTGCAGAGTTCGAATGTTTATGGTGCCCATGGGTTAGTTCGGATTAGAGGGGACTCATAATAACTAATAACAGTATCCAAGTAAGGTAGAGTTGCGGAAGGACGGTCATATCTAATCAACATTTAGAGCACAGGCTAAGAGTGTACGATTGGTAGGGATACATACTAGGTTCCTAACAAAACCGGATACCTGAAAAGCCCCCTCTCCGAGTTTTTGCATGGCAGTCATAAGAAGGGTAGTCCATGTTCGACCTTTTTGCAATCTTGGCATGGCTAGTTCGGCAGAAATGATTCTTCAAGCCTTTCAAGATTGAACTTTTTATACAAGGCTTACGTTTCGGCTTCTTCGCCTTCGTCAGAGCCTTGAACTCCCAAAAGAGGATCGCCACGCCTAGTGCAAAGAAAAAAACGAGGAAACGTAAGCCTAATAAAAAATTCAATCTTGAAAGGCTTGAAGAATCATTTCCACACTCACAAGAAGGTTTGGTGAAAGTGAAGGGTCAGTAAGCAAGGACAACGCATTTGCACTCATAGACATGGACACAGGTACACTTGTGAAGTACTGGTCATAGCCACGGTCTCAGTGAAAGATGTAAGGGTATGAATGCCTTCCGGCAGCTCTATTTCGATTAATATGAGTGTGTTCCGGTAGCTCCACTTCGGTTAGATAGGGTGCCTTCCTCCTCCCTCCGAACTACATTTTCACCCTGCCCATATAATGATTTATGGGGAGAAGCGGATGTCGAGGTGTTGTGTAATATTCCATAACATTACGTACTCTGCAGGTCATCCCAATCGCTGAAGGGTTTTTGCGCTTGGCGTTTCGCTACCTATAATATTTGTAGTGAGGGTGCATTTATAGTTGGTCGTCAGATCGTAACGGTCGTAACGATTGCACAGCATTGGATGCGTATCGATTGCCTGTCTGAGGGTTGAACGATCAATACTTATCTAACGCTGTGCGATTGTTGAGACCGTTACTATCGGACGACCGATGAATGCGCCCTGAACGGTGCCTCTAGCTATTACCTCGGTGTTGTGACATCTAATCCTTTTGCTCCTCTGCGTCTCCTTCACAAGGCCAGACACCAGACACTAAGGTCAACTTTTGCCACAGGTTAAGTGGCTCACACACACCTCACCCCCCCCCCTCCCTGAATTGGCCCCATTCCCCCTCCTTACTACCAGGTTCGCCACACCGAAAGGATTAGATGTCATACAACCTATTACCTTCGCCAGTTCAGGCCAGCGTTCTCGCATATGGTTCCTTATGGTATATAATTTACTGTACATATTCAATCTGATATATGTAATCTACTCTCTTCTAGATATCTTGTTGCAAGTGTAGCATGTGTGTTTAATTTTGTGTTGCTATTTTGTGAGACACGCCAAGTGCATTCATCGTTGTAATATGTAGAGTGGATCTGTGGACCCTGCGAACGAAGCGATAAATCAGCAGCAGTTTGTCAAAGACAGGAACAGAGCTGGTTGATGTTTGCCCGAGAGGTGTCGAGAGCAGCAAATCATTTTCTGAACAGTAAATTAGCACTTCAAATTGTCACGAGAGCTCGATCGTGGGCGATTGCTGTGATCTTTGTTCTGTCGAATGTTAGTTCACCGTGATTTTGCACTTTCACTTTCACATCGATTTTTCTGGGGTTGATGTATTTGCCATCGCTGGCTTTTGTGGAGGGAGTTTTGATCGATCTTAGGATACCCTTGATGGCTATCGGAAGAGATGATCTCGTTAAAGCAGCGAAATCTTTCTAGAATCGTTTTTTATTGAATCAGCTAGTCAGAGCATCTATAAAACTCTATTAGAGAATTCACGCATGTGCTGGGGGCAGACGCGCGCGCGATTTCTGCTCGTGCGCGCGCCGAGTAGTCTAAGGCCTGAGAATGGGCAGGAACTTCGGAAAGATGCAAGGCTGCGAAGGTGCTTCGCTCATTATCCCGTACATTTACCACATTTATCAGCTTAATTTCAAGTGAGGGCGCGGAATTCATCAAAGGTAGTCGCTAAAGTACAAGCTGAAAAGAGCGATTGGCACTGTTTACGCTTTTACGGGCTCATAGTTTTGGAAGATGTGCTGGATTTGCCTCAGAGTCTATTTTGGAGACAAATATGGCTACATAACTTGAACATCGGCAGCTGTCTGACTGTGGAATAAGAATATCCATGGCCCGGCGCTGGTACCTCAAACGCCGGCATTACAAATGTAATAGGGCAGTTTCGCGTCAACCTGACGTGGTGTTCGTGCTCAGCGCCTTTTGGGGCCCACACTGATGATACAGGGCCAGGCTTTTTTGCCTTGAACTGGGCGTGAAATTTGTGTTCCGTAGGTAGAACCTCCGCCAAGGCGAAACTGACAGTTTTTTTTTTAGCCAAATTTACCCTGCAAAAAATTTGAGGAAAATGCAGCCCATTTCGAAAAATTGCAGCAATTTACCGCTTTACTTATTGTGACTGACGCATCATTGAACACACAAATATAGTAAACCTAAATGGATTGGCGCGAGTTTCAAGAGTGAATTGATTTGAATTGGAGTTGGGACATTTCTATCGAAGGCTTTAGGCCTTGTCACGCATTTGGGCTGAATTCTCGCAGTGTAATGCGGAGCAGGGCTTTTTATGAAGCCTTCCACGTACATTTATATACGTCGTTTCGAACTTTTTCTTTATTCTCATTACCTCAATTTTTCTTGAAAGGTTCTTTCTTCTTCTTACACTCCACTTTGGTAGAAAGTTTCAAGAACCTCAACATTTTGATGTCATTGATATCCAACTTCTTCATTACAGCAGCTTCGCGTGCACAGTGGCTAAGGAATGCTTGTCTCAGCAAGTCTTGCAACCTTATGTGGCTGCTTTTACTCAACCCGCTCTCGGCCTTCAAATTGCTCTGGTTGGTTTGAATTCCAAGTGATTCCTATTTGCTGGTAAACCGTTTTACCTTACAGGAATGGGAACGGCTGGAGCTGGACGAGGTCGGCGTCATTGAGGTTCCAATTGTACTGTCACCGCCATTGCAGACAGCTCTTTTCACGCTCTCCAGTCGCTTTGGCGAGCTTTGCGTCGGCTCATTTATTGTCACGAGCTGTCCGCAAGCGACTTTCTAATGAGGTGAGCTTCGTGGAAAGACTAAGTGATCAGAAATTCTCTTATAGAAGTTCGGTTCGCCAGAAGTCAAGTGGCAAGTTTGACGGTACATTTCTAGTTATTCAATGCTTGCATAGGGATCGTTGCATGTACTAACAGGATCGCGCGCAAAAATTACGCGCTCAAATATCCACCGTTGTAAAACGGTAAAACAACAGATTGAGGACTAATTTTTCTACAACAGTTTATTTACATAACGCCATTACATAACGTAAGTTCAGATCTCGAAAGCCCTCCTCGCGCTCGAACACAGGCCTTTAGACGTGAGGGGAAGGCGTCCACTGTGGCGCGAAGGTACTCCAAAGGTATTTCTTCCCATGCTCTGAGCAGGTCCCTCTTCAGTGAATCGATCGAATTGTGCTGTTTAGAGCAGGCCTTGCTCTCCAACAATGACCACACAGAATAATCCATTGGATTCAAATCAGGACTGTTGGATGGCCATTCTTGAGCGCTGATAAAGCCTGGGAGGTTGTCTTTGCACCACTGCTGAGTCATCTTCGATCTATGAGCTGGTGCCGAGTCTTATTGGAACACGAATGGTCTGGAGCCGAAGTGACAATTTTGTCCAGGGAAGCTAGATGTTTTCAAGCAGCTTCGCCAAATAGACTTCTGTGTTGATTTTAATATCCTCGTCGATAAAAATCAGTGGAGGTTTGGCTTCGTAGGTTATCGCTGCCCAAACCATGATTTTCTCTGCATGTCCAGATCGCTCATGAATTCTCCCTTTCTCGTTGGCTTCTTCAGCTGTTGAGCAGAGCACCCTATCGTTCTGACGATTGAAGGTTGACTCCAACGTGAACAACTTTTCATCAGAGAAGACTATGTCCCGGTGGCGCGCCACAGTGGACGCCTTCCCCTCACGTCTAAAGGCCTGTGTTCGAGCGCGAGGAGGGCATTTCGAGATCTGAACTTACGTTATGTAATGGCGTTATGTAAATAAACTGTTGTAGAAAAATTAGTCCTCAATCTGTTGTTTTACCGTTTTTACAACGGTGGATATTTTAGCGGGTAATTTTGGCGCACCCTGTAAATAAATAGCCTTCTGCTGTTTTCGAATTCTTACTTTAGGTTCTTAATCTGATTCAGATTGCTAATCTCCTCGCCATCACCATAAATGATGCCATTCAAAGTGCTAACGCAGTTCAGCGAACCACAATCCAGCTGCTCTTCGACTGCCGCGTTCTCTCAGTGCTATGTTCGCCTGATAGAGTGAGTTCCTTACTATCAGCAAGAAAAGGATCTTAGGTCACTGTGAAACTTCCTTCGTGGATTCAGTTGGTGAGTGACATCTCCTACTGTGCACGGTGGCTGGGATCATATGCAGAATCAATTCCCAGACCTAACCAGGCAGTAATATCTGTGGCATGCTGATTGTACAGTATGGTGCTGAAGCAGGTTGTGGAAGCACCTCTTCGGCTGGGTCTTCCGAGGCGTGCGTTTTTTACTGATCAAATCATGGAAGCCACATGATATCGAGTGGAATTGGGATACGTGGCGCATTTGAAAAATGATATCATCATAGTACTCAATCTTCGATCCTGTCGAGGCTCTAGCGAAGTAGGGCGAATTTTGACACACGTTACCCTAGATGTTGTGGCAATAACTAATGCTCGGCTGACCTTGACCGAATCTGATCCAACAAACTATGTAAGACTGGTGTCTGCTTTTAGTCAGCGCGCTACGACTGCCTGAACACAGCTCATATGCAGAAACTGGGATCTCATCTCGGGCTAGATCACAACTAATGTTTTCCAATGCTTAGTAATTGTGGGCGCAATGTGGCTCGGGGGGGGGCAACCGCCGCGCAACAGGAAATTCGTGAGCCAGGGGGAATGTAGCCAATTCAGGGGGTGGGGGGTGAGGGCAGTCACTTAGCATGCGTGAGAAGCTGGAATGTTCGAGTTACACTACATCGCTGAGCCGCGCGCGGCGACTGCCCCCCTGCCCCAGAGTCAACCCTGCGTTGCGCAGTTCGCAACGGCACGTTGAGAGATCCTCAACGCACGCTGTATGGGCGGAGACGCAGACGGCTCGAGCATGCGAGTGTGAATGTTCGCGCGAGAGAACGTGTCTAATCGGGCGAAACTGCGCAACGTGGCCGTTGAAAACTGCGCAACGCAGGGTTGACTCTGCCCCCCCCCCGAGCCATATTGCTCCGTAATTGTTTTTCATGTTCAGGTTGAAGAATCTCATTCCACTGATAGAGAGCCGGATCGATCCATTTGATTTGAGTCTTCTGTCGTCACATCTCACTACAAATGTACGGCTTGCTGTGAGCAGGTCACAGGTCGGTGCTTGCTCACTATGATTTTTTGGCACTTAAATGATTTTTATTAGTTTCTAACAATGAGTGGGAAGTCTCAACAAATGAAATTTATTTGGTGAACTCTAACTCTATTTCTTCTTGCTCATGTTTATAGGCAAAATTTACGAACGGCAAAAGGGAATAATTTTGAAAGCAGCATCCACTGAGTCTTTTTGAGCGCCACTTACCTACTTTTGACTCGAATTGGGATGGCTTCTCTTCAGTCTTACTGTAATG